CAGCTTCCAAAACACTCAAATCAGATCAGCCCAGCATCTAACAAACAGAGAGCTAACAGTCATTCATTGGCTCCCTCTTATGGCCGATTGAGGAAAACAGCAACCAATCACATTTTATAGAATGATTTAAAGAAACAGGTACAGCATTGCTGTATGATTTATATATTGCCAATCCAACCATTAGATTATATTCCTAACAACTGGGGCTGCTTTCTGCCTTTGTTAAGACTATTCTCCGTTTCTCTTTTAGGGGAAATAGTCTATCCTGTCTCTTTTAAATATTAAGAATGAAGAATGTTTTAATTGGGGGGGATGTCCTACATTTTGCATTTTTGCTGCATGCAAAATAAAATATAATGAACTGGGTAATTTTAGATATTTATACAATATGCAGAATGTCAGAGGAATTTCTTGTGGAGTCCTTGGTGCAGAGAGCCTTCTTATATGTCAAAGGAAAGGTATGTACCAAAGTTCATTTATTGGGCATCATAAACGGAAGTAGAAACAACAGGAGGTCCTTTAGGCACATTTACACAGAAGTTAATCTCTTGTCTTATATTGACTCCAAATGCCACCATTCTTCCACTCTGCCTTCCAATTACATAATTTATCAAAATGTGACATTTTCATCAGGCTTTATTGACCTTTAAGTGCAATAACAATATTCCCTTTAAAGAAGAGCAATCGTAGATTTCTAATCTCTGTTCTACAGAAGTTTATCCAACCTGTTAACTGTAACAAACTTGACCTTTGTTCACGTTCACTCATTCTCCTGCATAGGATGGAATGTCACACAGAGAGCATCAGTTTGTATCTGTCCCAGTGTTTGTAAACTGGGACTTTTTAGAAATAAACAGAAAAGGTGGAAATCACAGTCCAGATTTCCAGTAAATGAAAGATGAGTCTATAACCCAAACTTGAAATGTTGTAATAATCTATATACATAAAAGTAAGAGTGTGCGTGTGTGTGTTTTCCAGCATAACTCTGGGACACCTCGAGCAATTTCAAACAAACATGGTACACAGATGACTTATTCTCTGGAGAAAAATACTGTGGGGGTAAGATACCCCTAACGCCCTCTTGGGGTGTGTGTTCTGTTAAGATACAGCCTGTTGCACTGTACTGCTGTACTGGCTTCTACTGTACAGCGCAGTGGAGTTGCCATGATAACGGCTTCACAGTACTCCACAAGGAGGCTCCCTCTGGTAAGGGGGAAAACCCAACATTAGAAATTACGTTCGGTCTGGACATTTTCCCCCATAAATAAACACCCAGGCAAGCATTTGATAAAGAAGATGAAAGTGCTAAGAACTTGAGGTCCTCAAAATAATAACGTTACGTCTGTATCTGCTTGAATCATGGGCCAATTGTACAGCATCATATATATTATAAAAGTCACATTTCATAAGTCATATATGATGAGAAGACAGGCTACACCAAGGGTGTCAAAGCTCACAGCCTGCAGGCCGGATGTGTCACGTGTGGGCCCCGCTCCAACCAGTTTAACGTGTGTGGGAGGGAGTCCCAATACATCATGTGACGACATTGTGACGATATGAAACTGCATTTGCTGCTGAGGCCAAAGCATCCATACAGAATAGAGGACAAACTAAAAAGCAATATATTTTTATACAAACATCAAATGCTAATACATCTGATAATGGCAACCTAACTACAGAAGGTTGTGTTGTTTATTTTCTTGCTAACAATTACGTAATATCCAAACTGCCTTACAATAAATCAGACTATTTGTCCTTCAGAAAAACATGACATAGTTTGAATGGTAGAAACACTCCAGAGGCTTATGACCAATACATCCATTAGTTGTTACTTGAACTATTATCTAGAGATGCCAGTTTGAATCTAGGACTTGCATACGTTCTGCCATAAGTTGTGGTCCAAAAAAATTTCAGGATGAAAGGTGACAGATCTTTTATTTTCACGAAGTACCAGAAACAATGACAAACCAAATAATTGAATAGCCTGATGCTAGCTGCCAAGATGATTGGTGCTCCAATAAAGTAACACAATGGTATTGGGAGTGTTGAAAGAAAACAAAATACGACAAAAACCTAAGTAAGGCATACTTTAAAAGGGGGACTGAAACAAAGTTTAAATCAGAAGTGTCAAACTTGATTTCATTGAGGGCCACATCAGGGTTGTTTGACCTGGGGGGGGGGCAGGGTTGGCATGGCCAGCTTGACGTCACTCATATTGGGGGCACCTCTGGTGGCCTGAGTGCTCTGCCAGCAAAAACGGGCTCCTGAACTCCATTTTCGGCTGTGATGGCCTCCTGCAACCCTCTGCCCATAGAAAGTGGGCAGCCCTCCCGAAGCTCCATTTTTGCTGGTAGAGGCCCCACAGGCCAGATCTAAGCATCTTGCAGGCCCCCAGGCCTTGAGTTTGACACCCCTGGTTTATGCTATACATCAATGCAAATCTCTGCAAAAAATATTTGGAGAAAATCTGAAGACAGCCAACAAACTTCCATTTCAGATTTTATTTTATTTTTTGTTTCACTGTGCTTAGAATTCTAATCAGCCTCATGTTGCAGAGATAGGCAAAGGCTGCCAACCAAAAATCCTGGCATCAGAAGGTCTGAGTTTCAAAGACAATGAAATGGAAAAATAAACAGAAACAAGCTCCCTGGCCAACATCTTCAAGAATTTTACCAGTCAGCTAAATAGCCTGTTCTTGTCCAGACTAAGAATTAATTGAATGGTTAACACATTCCTGCTTGACGTTGCCACTAGCATTCATTCTGGCGATAGTATTTGGGAGAATTCTATGGCAAACTACACAATTCTGCTTTGTCACAGCAGTTACTAGTATGAGGTTCGGTTATCATTTAACATAAATAATAACAGGTACCAGGTTTAATTCTCTACAGCCTTGATAGAGAACCTATGGCAAGCATGCCACAGGTGGCAAGCGGAGCCCTCTCTGTGGGCACGTGTGCCGTCGCCCCAGCTCAGCTCCATCGCACATGCACTCCTGCCTCCCGCCCACCAGCTGATTTTTGGGTCTCTGCCGGGCATGCAGGAAATGCCTGTGCATGCATGGGAGAGCGCAGGGGGGTGCAGTGCTCCCCCTGTGCCCCATTTTTGGTTCCAGGAGGCTGCAGGGAGGCCTACTAGGTCCAAAATGAGTTACGGGTGGGGGGTCACATGCGCATGCGCCGGGAAGCAGGAGGCACTGAGGGGTCATACACTCATTGCATTATGGGTGTGGGCATGCGCACAAACATGCTTTCAGCATGCGATGACAAAAAGGTTAGCTATCACTGGTCTAGAAGATAGATAATTTTGATATTTTTATAAATATTGCTTGACGTTAGCTAAACTGAAGTTACCTAGATTCCCAGAGACTCCTAAAAGTTGTTATTTATTTGTTTGTTTATGTATTTTGTATGGCTGCCACCTCACCAATGACTCAGCAACGAATAAAACTTAAAGAATAAAGACAATTAAAATATCACACATTTTAAAATACATAGCAGCCAAGAATAAAGCATACATAATTATGACTAAATTAATGACCTAAAATTGCTTGGCAGAAGAATCAATGTTCACTTGAAAAGCCCAGTAACGTTAGCCATAGACTATTGTTTTAAATCAGATTATCCTGTCAATATTTTTGAATCTAAGAACAAAAACTGGAAACAAGAAATCCTGTATCCCAAAATGCCATTTCCAAAGAGAAGTACTCTCAGTCCAGCAGAGACCAAATGGTGCAATTTTTTTAATTTTTACCAATTTCCCTTCCCTGTAGCCTTATCTGCCATTACCCAGACCAAAATATCTGGGAGGGAACCCAGAGACAGCAGGAAGAATAAACATTACTTTCCCCAATTTACTGACGCCAATGTCACACAAGTAAAGTTTCTTGCTTGGGAAACTGACAAAATCCACAGCATTAATAATGTGACTGATGGAACCAGAGACTTAAGAATAAAATAGATCAAAGCTTGACTTTCCAAAAGACATGGCTCAGCTCCGCTCTGATGCTAGGACTATCAGCTCTGAGCTTTAAAAATCTGGATGACCTTCTGACAGCAAGGAAAAAAAGCTACCGTATTTTATTTTTCTTTCCTGCTACAGAGTGTCATCTGGATTTCTGCAACTGAGATCCAATAGTCCGCACTTGTTATGGATTCCACTAAACCTCTTCTGAGATTTTGTATTTCATGCCTGTGATCAGAGTGCAAAAGTTTATGGCTCAACTGAAAACTTTATAATATTTCAGACAGAAAGCAATAATGGCAACATTCCAAAGAAAATGCCTGACACCCATTTTTAATATTGTTTCTCCTATTTGTTTGACTGTAACTTTGTTTGTCTGCAATATATTAGAATTTGTTGGGCAAGCAGAGTACAAGAGGAGATTTTAAAAGATCTTTATTTTGTAAATTAGATAGTTCTTGCACACTGCAGCTGACAAAACCAGGCAGCAAGCTAATTCCAGATTAAATAGTTACATGCCCAGTTTCTGTGCCAAATGTCCGTTTCAAGCAACAGAGGCGAAGGATGAACAGGGATTTTTTTTTTTCCAGAAATGCTCAGAACTACCAATTTTATGAAAATTTTTAGTGCACTGGGGATGGGTAACTAAACATAGGATTGTATTCACATAGATCTGGAAACTGAAATATTATGATGCATAAACCAGGCCATGGTTGTGCCAATAACCATTTGTAAGTGCTGTCCAAGGTATTTTGGCATGCCATCATACCAAAATATGTTGGACAGGACTTGCAAAACCTGTGCATTGATAGAATTTCCACCTGTCAATTAAAAAGGCCACACCGCTTGGATCTGCACATATACTATGTGCCAATATGCTACAACATGACTTCATTTTCCAGCAGGACTTGGCACCTGCCCACACTGTCAAAAGCACCAAAACCTGGTTCAATGACCGTGG